CCACTCCTACCTGCACCCCCTACCTACACCCCTACACCACTACCTACACCCCACCACTACCTACACCTACACACCTACCTACCCCCTACCCCCTACCTACACCCCTACCTACACACCCACCCACCATCCCCTACCTGCACCCCCTACCTACACCCCTACCTACACCCCCTACCCCACCCCCCCCCTACCTACACCCCTCTACCACCCCCCACCTACACCCCCACTCACCTATGAATAATGGTTAGGTGCATTTAGTTGTGTTGAGTTGTGTTGTGTTGTGTTGTGTTGTGTTACCATTCCTTCCTCTCCTAAGAACCAGAACTCTTCCCTATAGATAAATACTCCATCAATATTACCTGATGATTATAAATATTCGCCCAATCTTCCTCAACTTCCAATATTTCCCATTTTTACCCCAAACTGTTATAGTCTTACCTCGAGTAATGAGAGCACATTTTGTTGGTGAGGCGAGCTTCCCCCCTTCCTCTCTTTGTATCTTTCGTTCTCTTCATTTAATCTTTCCTTCTTTCTCTTTGTCTTTCTCTCCCCTTCTTCATCTCGCTCCTCTTCTCCTTCTCTCTTTGTTTCTCCCTCTCTTCCTTCCTTCATCTCGCTCCTCTTCTCCCTCTCTCCCTTCCTTCATCCCTCTCTTCATTCTCTCTCCCTCTCTTCCTTCCCTCATCTCTCTCCTCTCTCTCCCTCCATTCCCCCTTTCCTCCCTGTTCTTATAAACCTCTGCAATAACTCACCAACCATCGTGTGTTTTACAAATACCTAGGCGGTCTTGGACACCTGGTTGGAGGCCGTGGTTAAGTGGAAACAGTAACTCGTGTTGTGGCTCCTCAAGTCCTTGGTTCGAGGAGGCTGGTGTACGTGTGATTATGTAAAGGTTTTGGGGGAATGAGCTTTTTCTCTCTCTCTCTCTGTTTATATATCTCTCTCTCTCTCTCTCTCTCTCTCTCTCTCTCTCTCTCTCTCTCTCTCTCTCTCTCTCTCTCTCTCAGCCGGCTCCTAAGACACATCCGGCCTCAGACACAGCTGGCACTAGAGACACATCCGGCCTCAGACACAGCTGGCACTTGAGACACATCCGGCCTCAGACACAGCTGGCACTAGAGATACATCCGGCCTCAGACACAGCTGGCACTTGAGACACATCCGGCCTCAGACACAGCTGGCACTAGAGATACATCCGGCCTCAGACACAAATCCGGTCCCAGACACACCTGGCCTCCGAGACAAATCCGGCCTCAGACACAGCTGGCTCATCCGTCCTCAGAGCTGGCCTCCAGAGACAAATCCGGCCCCAGATACAGCTGGCCTCCAGAGACAAATCCGGTCCCAGACACACCTGGCCTCCGAGACAAATCCGGCCCCCCAGACACAGCTGGCACTAGAGACACATCCGGCCTCAGACACAGCTGGCCTCCTAAATAAATCCGGCCCCAGATACAGCTGGCCTCGAGACAAATCCGGCCCCAGACACAGCTGACCTCCCGGACAAATCCGGCCCCCACAGCTGGCCTCCGGGGTTAAATCCATTTAGACACAGCTGGCCTCAGGAACAAATCCGGCCTCAGACACAGCTGGCCTCCTAAAATCAATCCGGCCCCAGATACAGCTGGCCTCCGGAACAAATCGACCCCCCGGAGCCACAGCGGCCTCCTAAATAAATCCGGCCCCAGACACAGCTGACCTCCGAGACACATCCGGCCTCAGACACCTTCAGCTCTAAATAAATCCGGCCCCAGATGCAGCTGGCCTCCAGAGACAAATCCGGCCCCAGACACAGCTGGCCTCGGGAACAAATCCGGCCTAAATACTGGCTGGCCTCGAGACAAATCCGACCCCAGAGACACATCCAGCTTCAGACTCAGGTGCCGCTAAGGTGTGTCAAAATATTCACTCTTGGAGAAGGTGTGATTTACCCGGCCAAGGTTGAGCGATACCCCGCCCCGCCCCCCCACCTCTCTCTCTCTCTCTCTCTCTCTCTCTCTCTCTCTCTCTCTCTCTCTATCTCTCTCTCTCTCTCTATCTCTCTCTCTCTGAACTGGAGGGTGTCTCGTTAATTACAACACACACACACACACACACACACACACACACACACACACACACACACACACACACACACACACACACACACACACAGACTCTACATGAACTTAAGGATTTTGTGTGTTTAGTTAAGAGGAAAAATTAGCTTGGAAATATCTAGGGAATATCTGGGGTCTGGTTGAAGGGCTTCCTTGTGAATATCGTTTTACTGGGGATCATATTTCTGGCTGAGGACTGCCAAGAAAAACTGGAAATACAAATTACTAGTGATTTCTCTCTCTCTCTCTCTCTCTCTCTCTCTCTCTCTCTCTCTCTCTCTCTCTCCTCTCTCTCTCTCTCTCTCTCTCTCTCTCTCTCTCTCCTTCCCTCCCTTTTACTTCTCTCTCTATCCTCTCTTCCACCTTTCCTTCCCTTCTTTCTTCCTGTTCTTTGCCTCTCCCCTCCCTCCCCCCTCCTTTCTCCCAGTCTGGCTCCCCTTTTCCCTTTCCCTCTCTCTGTATCTCCACTATCTCCACTATCTTCCTCCCTCCTCTCCTCTCCTCTCTCCTCCGTCTCCTCTCCTCTCCTCCTCTCCTCTCCGTCTCGTCTCCTCTCCTCTCCGTCTCCTCTCCTCCTTCCTCCTGGTGCCCGTGAATCCACACTCTCTTGCCGGAACTATAAGAGTGAGTACATGTAATTATCCTCTCTCTCTCTCTCTCTCTCTCTCTCTCTCTCTCTCTCTCTCTCTCTCTCTCTCTCTCTCTCTCTCTCTCTCTCTCTCTCTCTCTCTCTTCTTCCATCTTTAACATTCATCTCTTCTTCCTCCCCTCCTCCCACCATCTCTTACTCCCCCCCTCCTCCTCCTCCGTCCCTCTTCTCCTCCTCCCCTCCTTTTCTTCTCTCCCTCCTTCTCTCCTCTTCTTCCCCCCCCTCGCACGTCACTTGTGGCCGGAACAATAAGAGTGAAGCGGACCATAAACTCTCCTTCTCTCTCTTTGTTTATCTCCCTCTACTTCCCTCTCTCTACGTCCGTGTTAACCCTGCCCTCCCATCCCTGCCCTCCCATCCCTGCCCCTCCCATCCCTGCCCCTCCCGCCCTGCCCTCCATCCCCTGCCCCTCCCATCCCTGCCCCCAGACCTGAACTATAGACTAAGTACTGTACACTAACTTGTTGCACAGAAATGAAGGAACCGACTTTAATTTGGTGTTGCAGACCATTAAGTGAGTTGCTGTTACTCAATTAAGTGACTGGCTGTAACACCATTAAGTGAGTTGCTGTTACTCAATTAAGTGACTGGCTGTAACACCATTAAGTGAGTTGCTGTTACTCAATTAAGTGACTGGCTGTAACACCATTAAGTGAGTTGCTGTTACTCAATTAAGTGACTGGCTGTAACACCATTAAGTGAGTTGCTGTTACTCAATTAAGTGACTGGCTGTAACTCCATTAAGTGACTGGCTGTAACTCCATTAAGTGACTGGCTGTAACACCATTAAGTGACTGGCTGTAACTCCATTAAGTGACTGGCTGTAACTCCATTAAGTGACTGGCTGTAACACCATTAAGTGACTGGCTGTAACTCCATTAAGCCACTCACTTAATGGAGTTACATTCCAGACTGTGGGTAAAATTAATGATTGAAGGACCAGGATAGAGATATTAATGGGTAAAATTAAGGTTAGGTTAGGTTAGGTTAGGTTAGGTTAGGTTAGGTTAGGTTAGGTTAGGTTAGGCTAGGCTTGGTTGGGTTAGGTTAGGTTAGGCTAGGCTAGGTTGGGTTAGGTTAGGTTAGGTTAGGCTAGGCTAGGTTGGGTTAGGTTAGGTTAGGTTAGGCAAGGCTAGGTTGGGTTAGATTAGGTTAGGTTAGGCTAGGTTGGGTTAGGTTAGGTTAGGTTAGGTTAGGTTAGGTTAGGTTAGGATGGACAGGGGAAGACAGAGATAATATTAACAGTTGTGGTCCCCGGAGTGAGAGGAGGGGCCGTGGTCGCCATCCCTCAGATGCTTTACCGACAAATACACAAACGGACGATATTAAAAAAAAGATAAAATAAATATTGACTGAGTGATTGTAATGAAGGTAATTAAATTAAACCATTACGGTGTATTAATTAACCAAATATTGGAAAAACTTTAATACATTTGGTTAAGGAGATCAATTAACTCAATACCTCTTAATGTAATGATGTAGTGAAGGAAAAATGTATTACAATTAATTTACTCAGGTGGAAGGGGCAGTTGAAGACCTGCAGTGTATGTATGTATGTGTGTATGTAGTGATGGTGTACCGTGTATGTATGTATGCATGTATGTATGTATATCCGTTCATACAGCTCATAAGAATACATACAACAAATGACTGACATCAAATTGTAGCTTTTAATCAGGTCAGCCTCTCGAGTTTTACCCCCCCCCCCACCACACCGAGTTATACCTCCAACACGTCGAGTATTATTGAAATGTATTGTTCCACCTGAGCTCCTACTCGAAAAGTAATTTAGAACTTGTATTATGTAGAGACAATAACCGGGATTACAGGCTACAAAATTCATGTAACTGGACTACAATAGACGAGGCCCTTAACTTAGCTCAATGAAGCAAAAAAAATGTATAAAAAAATAAATATAATCGAGGTTAGTTAATAATTGATAGGGAGTTGGTCTCTGTGTCTGGTTGATCCACAGAGAAGCGACTGACCTTACCCCACCGCATGTTGATGGACACTGATGATAGACCTGTAGTATAGGACGCTGCCGAGGCCAATGATGCAGATATCGTACTGGAAACTGTCTTTTGCTTTTTTCAATATTTACAGTGACAATGAGACTTAGTATAATAATTAGACAGTATGATTATGACACTATAATCATGAATTTCATTATAGTTTATGATAAACGCTTATGTGTGTAATAAAAAGTGAAATTATTACTGTTGTTAAAATAATCCTATGCCTGGCAGTCCCAC